GAAGATGATTGTTTTTTGAGAATGTTGACAATTTAATCTAAAAATCAATTGAATTTCACTGCAGTCAGAAAATTGTACATCCTCTTTGTATCCAAATCCTCAGAGCCTTAAGGGAAAATGCCTTTGAAGTGAAATATAAGAAGAATTTTAATGGTTTATTTGGAAAGACAGAATTTAGAGGGAATGGGAAAGAGAAGAAGGTAACAAGTTTGACATGCTTTTTTCCAATTGCTCTGGCACACAAACTCTGTTTTTCCTACTCATCCTTGTGTTACCCAACTGGTTTCAGCACCTCATGTCTTGTGTTCTCCTCAGCTTTATACATCTCTGCAAATTCAAAGAAACACTTCTAACTTACTCTTTCTGGCTATGTAAGTGAATTGAATAAGTGAAGGCTGAAGTGATGCAGTGAAACAAGTCTGAGAGATCTAAAACGCTTCAGAATTTCAAAATATGCTTTGCATGTTACTTAAAAGTTTTTGAGAAATTTTGTTGTTTACTCTGTGTAAATGCAAAATTGCTAAAGAAAATCTTGAAAAAGGAGGGAGTAGTGGTTATATCTTTAAAAATTAATGCAGTGAATAGATATTGCTACTAAAGGTATTCTACAGTCAGTTATATGAACAGGATTAATCATTTCATACTTCTTTTATAGTATTCATTTCATTTTACAGGGCCTGTAGATGTCAAGTTCTTCAATTACTCTGAAATTCTATGACCTGCATTTATATAAATTAATGTATTATGATTGCTAGCTAACAATATTTTGTATATTTGTAATCAAAACATTCACTTGGGTATAGATGAGTTCTCTCAATTTTATTTTGGGAAGCTACTATATTGTGAGTGGCTAGGCAACGAAAATCCATTTGATAGCAGGAGAAATTAGGTAGCTTGTTACTCATTCCCTATCTATAAGGCCACAGGTTTTTGTATATAGTAATGTACATTTGTGGGGTTTTTTTTTCTCCAAAAATACCATGTGTATAATGTGACTCTGTTATTCTCCACCAGGTATATGGTGTTCATCTTGTAAATGGTTGCTTTGTAATATTTAAATCCAAAATCTGCTGTAAACTGAGTTCTCATATGTTTTTTATTGGTGAGCAAAAGACAAATACCTCATGCAATCAAAGGGGTGGTGTGATCCCACATTTCAACAAGTCCCCAGACCCGCTCAGCAAAAATGATGAAGTAGCTGAACTGTGCTTCATCATAATTCCATGCTCTCAAAGGTCAGAATCACAGATATAGGTTGTAACTAGAGGAACAGTTATTTGGATAAGCTTTAGCAGCTGGAGGTAGGATTTAGACAGTTGCCACCAGGATGCTTTTGTCTCCTGTGTGTCCTGGTCAGTGCTGAACTGGTTCTCCTTTGCTCAGAGGTGATGCAGGATGTGTGCATGTATTGCCCAAGCTCACACAAATTTCTGGTGGTTCAGGGCAGAGAGAGATTAGAGCATAGCCTCAGAATCCTCCCTTTGTTTTAGGCACACTTTCACAGTTTTGCATGTTTATGTCATTTCCATCCTTCACCCCCTTCCAAAAAAAATTAACAGATGTCTTATCTTGAGTCTCCAGGTGCTGTCATAGTGTCAGTAATGTGGAGCACTTGAATTCCTACACAGTGCACACTGTAGATATATAGATGTAAAATATCTCCTGGCTGTCATGTATAAACTGCAGCATTGTGAGGCAGTAAATCCTTATAAATCCTGAGTTTTTCAGAAGAATTTGCTTCTTTTCTTCCATTGTATGCTGTTTCTAATAATTGTCTTGTGTCTAAATATTTCCATTTTCAGTCAGTAATGCTTCAGCTTTCATTTTAGGTTGTTTGTATTAGAAGAATTTCCTATTTTTGACTTGTCTTTAATAGGCTGGGAAAAAAAATGATGTTTTTATAGTTTCTATGTGAAGGGGTTTTTATTTTATGTTCTACTACTTGTTTGTTTTTCCACTACAGTGCTTCGTCATCTGTCATGCCTCAGTGTATGCATGATGATAAACTCCCTGTCCCATTCTCCAGAGAGCTCCATTCTCTAGGAGTCAGGAATGCTTTGCTTCTCTCAGGATTGGTGCCATATTACGAGGACAGTGTATTGATTTGGTTGACTGCCAGCATGTGATGCATGACAGAAATGAGAAATTGAACTTTCTGAACGTGAAGTAAATCGTGCTGCTGATGATATATAAATTATTGAGGGAAAAGCAATCAATCAGATGTTCTCTGTTGGCAGCAGAGCTACATACAATTTAATATATAGTAACCCAACAGTTGTTTTACAGTCTAAATCAAATAGTGTTCTGAATCATTCTTGCAAAGATTACTTGGAACAGTTCTGGGTTTAGCACGCTTTCCTTTCGACTTTACCAATATGTGGTCTGATAATTTAGAAGTATTGAACTGATTTTATTAATTCTTGTTTTTTTTCTTGTCAAGAGCTACAGATTGTTTTGTCTAGACTGCTTATTACTAGTTTAAATTGGTTGATCTTTAAATAATTTTAACTTGTAAGTAGAGTTGTTTTGAGTTCCAGATATCTGCAGAAGTAGTTTATTATAGCCACAGGTAATTGGACTTTAAAACAGCCACTAGAGACATGAATAGGCCCATTCTCTCTTTTGGCAGATGTTTTGCAAATATTAGACTTATAGCAAATTATCTTTGGGTATTTTAGCAGTACACAAGAGCATTCATTTGCAGATAACTATAATATTCTTTGCTCTTCTCCACGCTCTGAAATGAATGGGATAATTGATCCAGTCCCTTTTGGAAAGAGTGAGAAGTATTTTAATGAAAGCTTAAAGACACTTCCTGAAATTTTTCTCATTGATACGTATTAACAAGTCTTGTCATTCTGTGTCTGTCTCAGCTTACCATTTGCCCAATGTTAAATCCCTTAAGCAACAGGGAATTCTGCTCAGTTCTCCCCAAAGCCACCCAGAGCTGTGGAGTTTGGAAAATTCAGTTTGAACTTTTGGGTGAGAGTTTCCAAGGATTCTTCTCTCCTAAAAAGTAGTTGTCAATGTTTGCTCAGTGTTAAGGTGGTGAGAATCCAGGGAGAAGCTGAACCATGTTTTCCTGGTAGAGGGTAGTGCTGAAGCATTTGGCAGCCAGCTGGAATGTAAATCCTGGGCTTCTCTTGTGTGAACCCTGGTATAATTAGACAGTTCAAGGCTAAACTGTTCATAGGCAGTTCAGCAAAAAAGTTCTTCTAACAGATATTCTAAAAAATACAACCAAATAAAAAGCCATTTAGGCCTTTTATAAACTTTTTCTATTACATAGAAAAGTGGGGTTTTTCCCTTCTGAAACTTATTTTGCCATTTGTTTTTTTTTTCAGAAATAAAATAAAATAAAAATAAAATATTGATTTATTAGCTGTGAAGTTTAATAGTTTAGTTACCTCAGAATTAAATAAATTACCTTGATTAATCCCACCACAACAGTAAATGGTATTAGAATCTGGAATTTGCCGTTGGTAGGCAGGGTAGATGTCAGAATATCAGCAAAGCTTGACGATATTCCAAAAAAGTATGAATCTTCCTGAACTTTCTAAGGATGTTCTTTTATATTTTTCATAAAATGGAGTAAATTGCTTTTACATCTGAAGGTCAGCCAATATGATTATTCATCTTTATTTTATTTTAGACTTTATTTTATTTTAGATTTTATTTTATTTCTCTCTCTGAAAGCCTAGAGAAAGACATGACAAATATAAAGTGTTGCTAGACAGGGAAACATACGTAAGCTGTCTGCCTCTTTTCTGAAGACAAACTTGTGACCAGGAAAGTAAAAGAGTCACTTACACAAAACTCTGGAATTGCTGTCAACGTACTATAGAAATGTATCTACCAAAATACTTTTTAAAATTGTGTGCAATAGATAGATTTTTATAGTTGTGTCAGTGTTTTTACAGATTATTTTGTTCATGTCTTCAAACTTGCTTGCCTTCCACTAATGCTGTAAACCTGGGTTCTACTTGGATTATAAAAAATTAATGATGCACAGGAACAGTTTTATAGATTCTATGCATTATTCCTTGAAATTCAGTGGTATTTGAGCACAGTAAAATGGTGCTTAGTGTACAAATTTGTCCTTCGTCTGTGAGTGAGGACTTAAAATCAAGGTGTTTTATATATTTGTTATCTCAATTTGCAAAAAAGTCATAGTCATTATTCTGTGTTTTAGTTGATTTTATTTACAATTTTTCATGAGAAAAGTATTTAGATTAATGTATAATGAAATATTAATGAATATTGTATTTTGTGGTTTTGCAGTAGATTTATTTCTGATGCCTCATGATCATTTCTGCACACCAACTCCAAGCATGCAACTTGGCTCAGCTGCCATTTGGGAACCCAGATTCCTTTTTCATGGATACATTTTATGACTGTGTGAACATGTGCTGTGTTCTGGCATGGTTTTTTTGGGTGATGGGAATTTTTTTTCCTTTGGTTGATACCTCGTGGATGTTTTTTTTGCCACTGATAGGTGTTTCATCTGCTGTAGTTGGTTCCTACGAGGCCTCTCACAAGCCCCACTGAATGTGGCTGTCTTTTACTGCATTAAAGCCATTTCTGAAAAAGAATTATGCTGTTTTTTGCGACTAAAAACTAAACATTGCTGGCGCTGATGTTTCAGCTCAGGGACAGAAATTACAGCGAACTCATGCCATTTTATCCAGCCTTGGGATCAGAAGTTACCTTAAGCTGATGTACAGCTGCTATCTAGAGATGGAATGTGTGTAGACTTAATTTGATTTTAAAGGTCTGTTTTGTTAATACATTTATGTAATATATCTTTAAAAAAAAATACCCAACAAATATTAAAATACACCTAGGATTGCCTTTTGAAGTTATATTTGGAATGATCTGTGTCTGTATGTTTATAAATAGCTAAATTTTATAAATATATTTTATATTACTTGAGTTAATGAGCTGTTCCTCACGATGTCAGAAGATTTGTGTATCTCACTTGTTTATTCCTGTTTTTATAGATGGCTATACAACAGATGACATTGAATTTTACTGGCGTGGGGGTGATAATGCAGTCACAGGAGTGACAAAGATCGAACTGCCACAGTTCTCCATTGTAGACTACAAGCTTATCACCAAGAATGTTGTTTTCTCTACAGGTTTGTAGAGGGGAACTTAAAAGGGGAATTCTTTTAAAGACTTTCGAAACTGGATTAATTCTCAGTGTGCAAATGAGGAGCAAAACTTTCAGGAACAGGAATAACATAGAGCAGCAGCTGTGAACTTGGAAAGCAGAAGTTTTTATTACAGCTTCCGTAGTGTATAAGGCATCACTCATTAACACATGAAGAGGGGATGTCATGTTAAGGCTCATCAACTGAGCTGTATTTTCTGTTTACCTATGAAAACTGCTTAAGCCACTTGTGTACCTCTGTGCCATAAACCCAACCCAGAGTGTAGGAAATTTAGGAACCTTTTTCTATGTATTTTTAGATGTTCCTTTTTCCAAGTTGGAGATGTAGTAGACTAATTATTTTGTCTTCAATATAAAATCTTTTAAATGCTTGTTCCAGGATTTCCAGTTTAGGCTGTTCTAGCAGAAGGCTGAAAAGATGCTCTCTGAGAAGAAGCAGAAAATTAGATTTGATTTCATGAAATAAAAATAAAAAAAACCAAAAAACGCAGACAAACAAAAACAAACAAAAAAACCCCAAGAACAAAAAAAACTAACAAAAAATCAAAATGAAACTCCACTAACATATTTCAATGACATTAAATTGTTCAAGAGAGGCAAGAGTTGGATTGGGCTGTTACTAGGAGATGTTTTCTACCTACTTGAGAAACCCATTAAGTGTGTTAAAAAAAATTATCTTCAAAACTTATTTTCCAAATATGGGTAGAAATCATCTTCGGAGGGACTATAGAAGGATTGTAGATCCCAAATTCTTCAAAATCAAGCAGAAATGGGACTTGAAGAATGATTTCTAGGCACTCATATTGACAAATGTTTCATACACTATAATATTTCTGCCTCCATTCCCTCCCCTCCTCTTCTATTATTATTATTATTGGAATAATAATAATATTATTTCTGACAAAAGATGAGTGTTGCATTTCCTGGGGAGAAGTTGATGATAAAGGTTACACTGAAGCTGGCATATGAGAGTTTTTCAGGGAAGAGGCATTTCTGTGCTCTGTTGCTCTGACATGTATTTTGGCTGTTGATTGTTGGATGTTATGATTACCAGCAGATAAGCAAGTAGACCATCTTTGTACCCTTAACATAAAAGATTATTTGACTCCAATTCTTGCTGGAAATTCTGCAGCTGAATATCCTGGATCTTTCAGCTCTGAGTGTACTAAACGTTAAATGAAAAAAAAATAAAACCAAAATGACAGAAAAATGTTTTCAGGCATTATACAAATAAATTATGGCCATACAAATATTCTCTTTTAGGTGCCTACCCAAGGCTGTCTCTCAGCTTTAAACTTAAGAGAAACATTGGTTACTTCATTCTGCAGACCTACATGCCTTCTATTCTGATCACTATCCTGTCCTGGGTTTCCTTCTGGATTAATTATGATGCTTCAGCTGCAAGAGTTGCTTTAGGTAGGCATTTTTGCACATCTCATGCAGTGTGCTTTAGCTGAATGGTTTTTCTAGCTTCTGGCTGAGTGGATAATGCATGCTTTGAAAATAAAAAAGTATATGTTAGACCTGTATAAGTCTGGTTTGTTAAGCTTTGTATTATTTGAATCAGCATTTAAAACATCAGAATTTAAATAAAACTTAGAGTGATTTCATGTCTGAATCAGCTAACTGTATAATATTGTAACCAAAATTAGCCTAATTGCCTAAACATATTTCGTTGTTCTTTTCCTACTTGTTTTTTCTCTGAAAAGAATGCACTTAGTTTGCTTTTGCCCATGGCAGTCCAGAACACACATTCAGCACTGTGATATGGATTATAAATTGCTTTTCCTTTCAGGAATTAAATAAAGTTTTACCAGGGTTGTATAGTTGACTTGTCCTTATGTTGAGGGAAGAGGCTGTGCATCCTGTGTCCAGTTCTAGGCTCCTCACTTCAAGGCAGGCATGGAGGGGCTGTGTGTCCAGAGTGTGTCCAGTGTCCAGGGCAAGAGAGCTGAGGAAGGGTTTGGAGCACAGGACTGATGAGGAGCAGCTGAAGGGGCTGGGGGAGCTCAGCCTGGAGAAAAGGAAGCTCAGGGGGACCTCCTTGCTCTCTAAAACTCCCTGGGAGGAGGTTGTAGCCACCTGGGGGTTGGTCTCTTCTGCCACGTAACAAGTGAAAAGGATAAGGGGAAATGGCCTCAAGTTATGCCAGGGAAGGTTTAGATTAGATCCTAGGGGAAAATTCTTCACCAAATCCTTGCAGTTCCAGCCCTGGCAGAGGAAGTGGTGGAGTTACCATCCATGAAGGGATTTTAAAGATGTGTAGACCTGCTGCCTGGGGACATGGTTTAGTGGTGGGCATGGCAATGCTGACTTAAAGATTGGATTCAATTAACTTAAAGGTATTTTGCAACCTAAACAATTGTAAGAGTCTGATTACTTTTTTCCTTATATTCCAAAAGCAAAACTGTTTCCCTAATTAATCTCTAGAGTATTTCTATATCTCCTCACTAGTCCCATTTGTGTCTGTTTATTCTGTGCCCATCATCATAAGGAGCATGTTACAAAAATAAGTATCTCTATCTACTGCCAAATTTTGTCTAAATCAGACTGATTTCTGCCAGTACAGCTCTTGAATAGCTAAAATAAGAAAATCCCCATAAAATATGCCATTGAGAATTTGAAATTTTAACACTATACAATATAATGTATATAGAATATAGATACAGAATGAGTTTTACCAGATCTTTCTGTGTAGCATTTTGCCTTAAGAATTTGAGATATCCTGAAAATGTTGGAGGAAAGCAAAATAAAGTGACTGTAGTCTGTAATTTTTAACTGAGACTCATTACAGAAGGTTGCAGTTTAACTGCTTAAAAATACACTTATGGAATCCAACTACTGTCTGCTTGACTGAGCTCAGTTTATTACAGGTGTAATGTTTTCTGTGCTATGCAAAAAAATCCAAGTCCAAGATAAGGACTGAACAAGATGTTCCTGAAAAAATTCAAACACAAAAAGGAAGCCTACAGAGGGTAGCAGCAAGGTCACATAGCTTGTGAGAAATACACACAAAAAAAATCCGAGCGGCCAGGGATCAGGTTAGGTAAGCTAAAGCCCTAAGATAGAACTAAATCTGTCCTGGGATGTGAAAGGCAACAAGAAAAGCTTCTATATAGGTATATTGGTGCTAAAAGACAATTAGGGAAAACGAGGGTCCTCTGAAAGGAAGCAGGAGGCCTGGATACCCAGGATCTGAGGTTCTGAATGCCTTTTTAATGCCTTGCTCTCATGGACATTGCCCAAGGTGCAGAAGGCAAAGGCTGGGACTGGGAGAATGAAGAACCACCTGCTTAAGGAATCTTGTTTGAGACCATCTAAGGAACTTGGGGATCCCAAGCATAAGTCTGTGGGACCTGATGAGATACATCCACAGCTCCTGAGGGAACTGGCAAATGAATTGGCTAAAACTCCATCATATTTGAGAAGCCATGGCACTCCAGTGAAGTTTCATTCAATGGAAAAGTGGAAGCAAACACCCCCTTTTTTAGAGGGGGAAGAAAAGACGACTTTGGGAACTGTCACTCTGACTTTTGTGCCTGTCAAGGTCATGGAGCAGATTCTCCTGGAAACTATGCTAAAGCACATGGAACCTGAGGAGGTGATTGATGAGAGCCAACCTGGCTTCGCTAATGGCAAGTTGTGCCTGTCAATGTCTGTGGCCATCTACAGCAGGGTCCCAACACTGGTGGGATGAGGAAAGAGCAACTGATATCATCTACCTGGACTTGTGCAAAGCACTGACACTGTTATGCATGAGATCCTTCTCTCTAAACTGAAGAGTCATGGATTTGTTGGATGGAACACTCAGTGGATAAGGAACTGGCTCGATGGTTGCACTTAAATAGTTGCAGTCAATGGTTTGATGTCCAAGTGGAGACCAGTGACAAGTGTCCTCAGGAGTCTGTGTTGGGATTGGTGCTGCTTAACATCTCTGTCAGCAACATGGACAATGGGACTGAGGGCATCCTCAGCAAGTTACTGAGCAGTGTGATGCTGTCCACATAAGAGATGCCATCCAGAGGGACCTTAACAGGCTGGAGAAATGTCACAAACATAATTGTGTGACTGGAGCACCTCTCTGTATGAAGACAGGGAGTTGGAATTATTCAGCCTGGAGCACAGAAGGCTCCAGGGAGACCTTAGAGCACCTTTGAGAGCCTAAAAGGGCTCCAAGAGAGCTGGAGAGGGACTTGGGACAAAGAGGAATGCCTTTAAACTGACAGTGTCTGGATTTAGATTAGATCTTAGGAAGAAATTCCTCACTGTGAGTGTAGTGAGACAGTGGATCATGTTGTCTGGAGTTGAGGCTTCCCCATCCATGGAAACATTCAAGGCCAGGATGGATGAGGTTATGAGCAGCCTGGTCTAGTGGAAGGTTCCCCACCCATAGTACTAGATGGTTTTGAGGATCCCTTTCAACCCAAACCTTTTTAGGATTCTATGAATATGGACAGAGGTTAGAGATATCTTTTTTCCACCAGGGGACAAAAAATTATTTTTCGACTCTAGCATTTAAATATTATAAATTACTATCCTAGAAAATAAATTAAAATTATTTGAATCACCAGACTTCTCAATTCTTTTTTCCAGGAATCACAACTGTGCTCACAATGACAACAATTAACACCCATCTTCGAGAGACTCTTCCCAAAATTCCATATGTGAAAGCCATTGATATGTACCTTATGGGATGTTTTGTCTTCGTTTTCATGGCTCTGCTGGAGTATGCATTGGTCAACTACATCTTCTTTGGCAGGGGACCTCAGCGTCAAAAGAAAGCAGCAGAAAAAGCTGCCAGTGCCAACAATGAGAAGTTGCGAATGGACGTCAATAAGGTAAGCTGTAATGGGGATAAATTTTTAGCATTTCCCCAGAAAGGCAGACTCTCACTTCTGTCAGACAGTGCTTTAAAATGTAATTTCTTGTAGAAAATGAGTGGAGTGGAATTATGATGACCTTGTCTTAGCTCTACAGAGCAGTGTACTTAGCCACCTCAGCAGTGATCGCTGCCCTCTAGCCTGGAAAGCTGAATAACTTGTTTCTAAAGCATGTGGTCAGTGAAGCTTTAGTGAGAGATGTTTTCTTAGTCAGAATGTAGACTTGAATATGTACTATCTGTTTGTAAAGGAATAAATCCAAAATGATGGCTGTATATTCTAGTAAAAGCTGTATGGAACATTGGAACTAAGACCTCAATTTAACCTGCTTTCATAAATCTTTTGGATGAGCTAGATAAGAAATATTTGCCACAGAAGTCCTTAAAGCTTGACAAGTTTGCATACTTTCAATGTATAAGGGGGTAGAATACTATTGACTTAATGAGGAATTTCTCAGAAATAAACCATCAAAGTGCTGTATACTTAATTTTGAATATAAAAGTTGCCCTCTAGGGATGGAGAATTGAGGCAGAAAAGATATTTGCCAAGATACACGCTTCTGGGAAAAATATCCCTTACGCTTAATGAAAATGGGTCACTTATCATATAGCACGTGTAATTTATCACTTTGACCATTTTGGGATGAATTTCACACAGTGGCAAATCTGTGCTGAATGCAAAAATGTTTTCAGTCTAAAATGTATAAACTTTCACACACATGCAGAATTGGAAAGTTAAATAAGGTTGAATTATCTTTGGAGATTTGGGGGTTTTTTGGAGGGGTGAGGAAGTTGTGAGATTTTTTTGTTTTGTTTTGGGTTTTTTTTGGTCAGGGGAAGCTCTTTGAATTGTAATTCATCATGACAATCCAAGGAGAAAAAATCAAAGTCAGAATTTTAAAAAAATCTGTATTAGAAAAAATAAGGGATTATTTGTCAGTTGAAAACTTGACTTTCATACAGCTCTAGTAATGAAATTTCTAATGTTTGTTTAGAGCCTCTACACACAGAGTGGGCCTGCAGTCAAAAGAGCAACTTATTCCAAAAATCCATCACATGTTGATAGCACAAAATAGCTTTGTAAGTTATAGTTTATAGTCTTTTAAGGAGGACAGCTATATTGCCATGGTTCAGATCTCATCCATTCACTCATTTTTTTAATTTTTTTTTTTATTGGAGAGAAACGTACTTCAATGAATGAAGGCATACTCATAATGATGATGATTTTAATTTTGATGTTATGTTACCATATATCATCTTTTAGCATTGTAAAGTTCATGAAGACAGTGTAACATGTTTTTATTTCTATTGGTGATTTTTCAGCAATGAAAAAAAACAACTATGAGTTTTTATTTAATTTTTCAAGGTTTTTTCTTTCTTTAAAATTAAATTTCACTTTAAAAAAACTGCTATAAACTACCCTTCAAGTAATTTTTTAAGACTAGACCTGCATTTACCTGAAGTCTTCCCTCTAACATCACTGGAAATTTAAGATCTGTAAGTGTCAGAGTTCTACCACCAGCTGAGCTATATTTTTATTTACACTTTGCTTCACTTGTTTTTTCAATATTCTTGTTCATACAATAGATCTTTCAGCTGTGTAACAGAACAGCAGAAGTCCAGTGGCAAATTGCTGATCATGAAAAGAATTTGAAAGCACCAACTGGTATGCAAATCCAATTTGCTAGGCAGAGTAAATTTAATTCAATAACTTGCAGAAATTTACCATCTTACAGGATTGACACAAGGTATCCTGTGGAACACAGGTAACAATTTTATATTTGTATTTTCTTTATACTGAGCATTTTAGTTAATATACTAGGCCAGCATGGTTAATAGTCTATGGCAGTTTCACTGTGGTATCCAGATCCACTGTGATCTGGTAATCAGTCTTGCAATCCTTTAAGCAATAGAATCAAATAGGAGAGGAACAGAGAACTTGTCCTGCTGTGCAGAGACTGCTCTGGGGAGAGGGAAAGGAGCTGACAGTTGTTCTTGTTGTTTGACCAGCAGCAAGAAAACATATTAATATTTAATGGACGTGAATATTTTATCTGTTAAAGGGAGACAAATATTATGTAATTTTTTCATTTATAAGAATCAGAAAGGGGGCTGAACTGCTGAAATTAGTTCAGAAACAACTTGTCATAAAAAGCAACTTATTTTAGAAATGGGATCATACACTCTACCTTTAACTAGGCTCCAATAGTGAAGGACTGATTTCACAAGGTATGAGTGTTCCTTTGTGATATTATGGGATTCCTCTTGAATCACTATGTGCAATATTATGAATTCATCAGAATCAGATATATACAGGAGAAGAACATGATGATGAAAACTTATATGCAAAACAACTTCTATTACTGCATTCAACATTGACACTGTAAAACAGGTGGATAAATAGTTATTGGAACTGCTATTTGTAGCATCTTTGCTTTACTTTATAGAATCTGTAACAGATTTCTTGCAATTCATTGGAATTGCATCCAATCACATCCAATGTGATCTTGGATCCCTGTTTCCAGGGATGGGGCATCCACCACCTCTCTGGGCAACCTCTTCCACTGCTTCATCACTCTCATGTAAAAGAAAAAAAATCTTCCATATATCTAGTCTGAATCATCACATAAGATATACTCTGTTTTCAAAGCCTGTTGATCCTATTTGGGGTAATGGAAAGAACTGGGCCTAGATCTTGATTTGCTTCTTGGGTACTGAAACCTGAGTAATAAAATCATGTAGAAATGCAAAGAACATAAAACTCAAGGAAGATTCAGATTCAGTTACCAGCAGATACATTGCCATAGACCCATTAAATCATATTAGACTTGCTTGATTTTCCTTGCAGTGAGTTCAGATAAAAATGGCTGTTGAGTATCATCATTCCACTCTTGAAACTTCTCAAGCTGTTTATTAATTTGTTATAAATTTAACAGTTTGTTCCTTTAGTCTAACTCATCATCTTTTGCTTGTCAAGATTAGTTGTTCTTTCTGTAAACAATCATATTGTTTCTTGTAGGAAAATCACTGGCTTTCTTTTTACTCTAGACATCCTTCATTTATTTGAGATGGCATTCAATTCATTAATTTCTTCACCTCTTTTCAAGTTTTTCATCTTATGTCTTGAAATGTCTTTCTTGCCTTGGTAGTCTCAAGTTTCTCAGTCTCTTCTGTTCTGACTGGCATAGTACTGCAAGTGTACATAAGGATAGGTACACTGGGGGTGTCCTATGTCTGCTGAAGGACCTAGCATGTCATAAAGTATGCTATATATACTCTAAGCAATTGTTATGTCTTTTTATTCTGTGCACTTTTGAATTTAAGATAAGAATGTTGATGTCATCAGTGTCCTTTTGGTCCTTTGCATTTCATGAATCTTCATGATAGTATTGTCTGTGCTTCTTCAAGATGATTAACAGATACATTAAAATACAGAGCCAAATTCCAGATTCTGGCTTCCCAATATAATTCACCTGTCCTCCTGTGGGTAATTGTACATGCATCTGGGACATGTTATCTCTTCTGTTTTAAGATAATGTACCAAAGGCTTTATTGAAATCCATAAATCATATATTTTAGTTCAGTAGCTACACACAAGTGGTCTAGAAAGATTTGGTCTAGAAGTTTCTATGACCCTGTTTTTTCTTTTCACTGTAATTCATTTTTTTGTTTCTTTTTGGGATAGGGGGCTAGGGGAGGGAAACAAGGTACTGTCATATAACTCTCCAGGTTTCCTCCCTATGAAGTCTGGCTTTGTCTCCAAGATGTGTCCACAATTTCAGTGTAGAGCCTGGTACAACTGCAAATGATTTCTTGTGTAGACCCCCAGCCATTTTAATAAGTTCCATTTCTGTTCTTAGAGCTCAGATAATTAGCTTTTTTGTGCTCTCTCAGAGCTGGTTTATTCCCTTTACATTTTTTACAGAATCCAGGAGCCAAGTCATTTTTGATTAGTTTTTAAATTTACTCTTAATTTATTGTTTCTAGTAATTTTACCTTGGATTTTTCCATCATGGAACTATGATTTAGATAGGCTTGCTTGTGCTGACCATTGTGATGAGTCTGATATATCTCTTAGACATTTTCTGTCTGATCACCTGCCGAGTGATCAAGTGTCAAACAGCTGCATAAGCTGCTGCTACGTCTATTGGATTCTATTGCTGTTTTTTCTAGAGTTGCTCATCTGACTCATTTGCTCCAAACTACTGTGTACACTAACACTACTCTCGTGGTGTAAGTAGGGTGAAAATGCTTTTCAATAGCAATTAAATCTATATTCATTAGAGTGGTAAAACCAGGACTGTCACTTTAAAGTCCATGATAAATGAAAGGCTGACTCTTCTTCCTCTGTAAAGAAGTGCTTCTTGCCATCTGTGTGTTTGACAAGAGGTGATTCCCATGGAAAAGCAGCTCTGTACCACCCTCTGCCACAGCATCAGAAGCTGAAATGTGTCAGGAGCAGAGACAATACTCGCTGTGAGCATTGGGAGCACTTCCTTCACGAAGACTCTTCTTAAAGGAAGAGCTACAGATCTGTCTCTTTAGGGAGCTCCTGGTCAGTCTTTCCTTCAACATCACTATAGTTTCCTTACCAGGATATTACCTAGAAACAGGATATGATACTTTATTTTTTCAGCTCAGATACAAAGGCATTACTACATAATGATTTGGTGCACCTTTCTTCCATTTCTAGTCCGACTCTTACCTGTTTGTCATTCAGTGTTTGTTTCTAAATTAGTTAATTTTTTTCTTTATTGTTAAATCATCTAGGTTTATAAGAATTAATTATTGCAAATTAACATTCCCTACATAGAATTTCTTAGCTACGTTCTTTCAAATAATTTGATTTGCTACTTCACAGAAGCAGCATTACGTTTTGCAGAATGTAAAATACATATAAATACATCACTAAATGTGGTTTAGATTGGGGTCAGCTGCAGTAATCATTGAAGTCTACAT